GCCTTTTGCATGTTGCCTACTAGTCAGGTTGAGACCGGCCTGTAGTCCTGTGAAAGTCCCTTAGTGTGGATATATATATGTACAGACTACATAATTATTGTTGAATTGTTTAGGATGTACATGCGTATCTGGTCTCTGCTTGGATTGTAATAGTATAGAACTTGCTCGTGGGCCTGACCCACTATCATTTTTCAGGTGTTCGACAGTTCCAGACTTAGAGTTTGTTCGTGCCGAGTAGAGACAATCATTCACTCTTCTGACGAAATAGGATTTCTTTTCATGGTTTAGCTTTAGAGTTTATTTCAGTTGTGTACCTTTCTGTTTTGGATTTTAATAGGGGTCCATTAGATGGATTCCCGAATTGTTTAATTAATGGAGGTTTTGGATTATTGGTTTTTAATAATTTAATTTTAAGGATTATATTTTAAAATTCTTTCAGCCTTTATTATTTATTTATTAATTCATTTTGTATTATGTGTTCATTTAAATATTAATTGTTTGGTATCCCTTGAATCTGTGCTCGGACTTGATCACCTGTGGCTCTAGAATCGAGATGTATCACATTATCTATGCTTTCGATACTATATATGTTTTCAGTATCATCGTCTGAATCATAAATAGTTTCTAATTCATATAGTTCTTCTATCTGTTCTTCAATATCTTCGACGATATTGATTTTCTATTGAATTCTTTTAATATGCTTTTGTTTATATCTATAGGGGCAATTTGGTCTTATATAACATAGATCTCCACAAACAAAACATTTGCAATTGCTCTTTCTTGTGGGTAGAGTGTTAATTTTTCCATCTTTAGTATCTTTACAATCCTTCTTATCTTTGTTTATTTTTTGTTTCTTATACCAAAGACGTTTCTTAAAAGGTCTGAGGTTATTTTTAACATAAAATTTTTTATTACGATAGTTTTTATAGATTTTAATTTTTTGCAAATTATATTTCCTAAGTTTATTCCTTTTATAGGTTTTTTGAGGCATGCAACCATATTATGGCGGAAAGTCGAATTGTCTACATGCAAAATAGAATTGTTTCTTAATCTGTTTAGATTCTTTTCAAAATTTACATTCTACCTTTAATATATTATAAACATAATTTACTCTATCTCCTACGGTTAACCTTTCTCTTCTGGGATTTTCTAGCCACTTTTCCCATATTTTAGTTCCTATACTTCTTAGTAATTTCTGAAGATATCTATCTAGTAAAGTTTTGTCTCTGGTTTTTCCTGTGGTGGCAAAATATTCGAAAAACTTATTTATATAGTCTTTTATATATCTAAAGTCACAAATCTGTAATAACTCTAAATTACGTAAAATTTCGTTTTGCTTTACTTGGGTTTCTTCCAATAGTCTATCTTCTCCTATTAAAACTTTTTTTATTAAGCCAATAAACATCAAAATTGTAAAATTATCTTTTAAGATGGCATAATCATTAGCATAACTAATTTTGTAAGATTGCCACCAATCATAAATTGGTCCTCTAAATAGGGTTTCACAATATGTTAGGGCTTGTGTTCTATTATCAAATATGGTTAGAATACATGTTCTAATACAGTCTTGTTCCCAATTTTCAATTACTCTTGCCCAATCTTGTGGATCATGTCTTGATATGTCTAAAATAGTTCCTGCGTCATGGGCTGGTATGTTTTCATACCTTCTATGATTTGGTATCCAGGTAGACGTATCTGGTATATTTCTATTTTCTACATACGTTTCTTGTGAGGGTTGTAATATTTGTCCAGTACCATAGTCATCATTTATATTAGTACTATTAGTGTTATGCATTTCTTGGTCCACTGATTCTGTAGGTTGACAATGAGAGGTTAATCCTTTTGGTTCTTTTCCTTCTCTAGGTTCTATTACATTCAATTCTTCCTTTAATGTGTTTAACTAACATGTTGTATAAAAAGATTCAAATCATACGTTTAAAATATTTCTTTTCATATCATCGTTATTTCCTTGTCCTAGGTAAATACTTTCTATAAACTGGTATTTAGGTTCTAAATATTTGTATTGCAAGGCTTTTAATTCCAAGTTGTCAAAATCATACATTATTTTATCTATAATTTTATCTTCTAGTCTATCATAAAGGACATTTATTTCTTCGAGAGATTCTATTTCTACTAATGTAGTTAAGAATTCTTCTTCGATATCATCTGTTAAATTATCTTGTCTTTTATAGTTACTAAACCTTATACTAGCTTTTCCACTATGTTTTACATATATCATATTGTTTTTGGGAACTTTTTTTGTTGTTTTAGTAAGATTAAGCAATTCTCCTTTTGTTCCTTCGTGGGTTATACTATTTACTTTTCTAGCCTCTATAATCTGGATATATTTGTTACTTAAAGGTTTAACTATTTCACTGAATTAAGCTTTGAATTTTAAATTATTTTGATTAACTGTTTTTCCATAAATAAAGTATTAATTAATAAGTTTTCATACTGTCCTGTCATATTATATCATTTTGTGGATATAACTATTTTTATATGTTTACTAAATTTTCTAGTGGTCATCGGGAAATTAGGAATACGTCTTACAATGGATGTTTTGACTGCTTGATTTATTTCAGCGCTAGCTATTAGTGCTTGTTGATGGTTATTCCATCGATCATCATAAATATATGCGAGTGCTTTGGTTCCTACTTCTGATCTATTTAATCCTACTATTCCGATCATTATTACTCCTAAATGCATAAGCTCTAAATTATTTTTTTCCAGCTCTTGACAAGCTTCTGGAGTTATGAGATCTAAAATTACCTGGTTATTAAGCTCTGGAAATTTAATAAATTATTAGAATAAAGATTAATTTTATTCGATACTTTCTTCATTCTTTTTTTGATATATTGTTGAGCATCGTGTTCATTATCATATAAATCTTCTACCCTCATTATTTCTCTGGCTTTTCTAAGGATAATGGCCATTCTTTATGTGGTTGTAAAAGATTTATACGCTTGGTAGTTGGGGTTGAGAAAGGATTAGTTGTTAACTTTATATCTTTTATTTTATCGGATAGTTCAGATAATTCTTTAGAGGATTCTCTATGAATACTTTATTGTATTACATCTAATTTTTCTTCAAGTTTATTAACTTTTTCATATAATTGAAGTAATAACTGGATTACAAAGTTATTTTGTATAATATTTATATTAGTTGATTGAACGTCTGTCTTAAAACATGTAAATCCTACAGGGTCTTTGTCAATTTTATAAAGTTCTGCTTAAGTTGCTAGATAATCAGGATTACTAATGCTCATAAAACTATTGTAATAACCTTTGAATATCTATTTTCAAAGATTTTAAATAATCTATAATTATTTTTTGATTTTCTGTAATATTTTTAATATCGTTGTTTATGTCTTTAATTGCGACTAATATTATTTTGTTGTCTAGATTATTTAGACTAGAATTCTGGTCTATTTGGTTTTTAATATAATCTAGATTTTCTCTTAGTCGTTTTACTGAGTTATCTAAGTTATTAAATTATATTCTACTCATAAACCTAATTAAAATCTTTGTTTTCAAACTTCTAGAATATTCTGTATAAGAATAATTATAGATCTAAGTTTTTCTATTATTCGTTTTAGGCTACGTGTTGTATTACTGATTTATAGTGAAATGTAACAATTTCTTAGTGCTATTTGGCAAAATTCTAGAGTTTCTAAAAGTTGTTCTTTGAATAAGTTATGCATAAAATAAACTTTAGGGGTGAAAATATAATTTTAGCTTATAAAAGGGTTCAAAATGAAGGTTTTCACTTTTGGTTCATGGTCTAGTAAATATACAAACTACGTTCATAAGTTGAAAATATACGTTTGTTACTACCATTTTTATGTAAAATTTCTTATTTTAAAATAGAAGATGTAATAAAGTTTTAGTGTTTACATACCCTATAAATATAACCAAACTTATTTATCCATATATATATAACAAAAGTTTCATTGTAAATGTAGAGTAATAAGTAAATCAGTACCCCTTCCCTACTTTTATTGTGAAAATTACATATTTGGATTGAAAGAGCGAGACTACACTGACAAATTTAGGAGCGTAATTTGGATTGAAAGAGCGAGACTACACTGACAAATTTAGGAGCGTAGTTGTTTCCGAGTCTAAACAATCACAATAAAATATAAGATAGTAATAATTTAGAGTCAAAAGTCCAATAATTGTAGTAGTAAGTGAAAATTGTCTGTTTCTAGACTTTGAAACTAGGGACTTTTTTTTTTTTGTTTTTTCTTAGCTAGGATTGATAACAGTAAAAATTGATTGTAAATCTCAACAACTCTTAAGAAAGAAAAAGGAGCATGATACATTAGCCACTGGGGCTCTTGTGAGTGGGGGCATGAACTCGACGTCAACATAAAAATTGGATATGTTCAGATTATGTATCATTTTTCATATAAAATAAATAAATAATATTAAAAAAAATAAATAAATAAAAAAATAAAAAGCTAACAAATAATCACCAACATGCCTGTGATCTATTGGTACCAGGCTCTTATTTTTTAAAGGGAGGTCAAAAAATTGAACTTTAATGAAGACATGTGTGTGTGAATATCAATTAGGAAAAAAAAAAAAAAAAAAAAATTGAATCAAAATAATTGTGATCACAAGCCCTATTCACAAAAATTATCGCAAACCTAATGGGCAGAGCCATGTCAAAGTTGTTTGGGAGTCTATATATCCAAACTGGAATGGCCCATTACTCCCCTATCCAAATGTTATCTGGACCTTGGGCTTTGGCCTGTAAATGATGTGGGGTATCACTTCTAGATCCATTATTCCTCATACAAATGTTATCTGGACCTTGGGCTTTGTCCTGTAAAAGATGTGGGCCGTCACTACTAGATCCATTATTCCTCTGTACAAATGTTATCTGGACCTTGGGCTTTGGCCTGTAAATGATGTGGGCTCTCATTTCTAGATCCATCACTTCTCACTGATTCTAACCCCACATTGGGCTTATATTCTGGAACACACTATGTAATATTATCTCAATTCAATTTGTGAAAGTCACGGTTATCGGGACACGTTTTTTACGGGACAGAGGGTGTAGCTTAGAAGGCAGAGAGAGGAGACGAAGAATCACAGCAATGGCCTCCTCAACTGCTCAACGAGAACTACAGCGCGAGCTGGAGAACAAAGCCAACGATCTGAACAAACTTCAGAAAGGTAACTCATGCATCCATTTTTCATCCTCCAATAAACCCTTACCCTAGAACCTAATCTTTTCCCAATTTCACTTACATCTCTACATTCATATATGTATATATGTCTGTGTGTAAGCCCTAATCTTTTGTACACTTCTTCAGACATCGCAAAAAACCACCAGGTCAGAAAGAAGTACACCATACAGCTCGGTGAAAACGAGCTCGTCCTCAAGGTATGTTCTTTTTATGACCATTGATCTTGTTTTTGCATTATTTTATGATCATTGATAAGTTTTTATATTATTTTATGATCATTGATTTTTATTATGTTATGTGATTAATGGGTAATTTGTTGCTTTGTGTTAATTTGAAGGAGTTGGATCTGTTGAAAGACGATGCCAATGTGTACAAATTGATAGGACCGGTTCTAGTGAAGCAGGATTTGGCGGAAGCAAATGCCAATGTTCGCAAGCGAATTGAGTACATCTCTGCTGAATTGTATGTTTCTCTATATTGGTTACTCAATATTAATTTTTTTTGGGGTATAATTTATGCTTAATTCTGGCAATTTTTAGTATTGTTTAGCTGAATAAATATGGGCGTTCCAAATTTCTAAATCTGCTAATTGTTCCTGTGTGGGTTCTCTTTTTGTTTTCTGCTTAGGTGATAAAACACAATTTTGTTGTTTATTTATTTGTTTTATAATAGACCCTTTAATAATATTTTCATGGATTGTGTACTCGTCAAAAAAATAATCATGGATTGTGGAGTCTTTTATAGGATATGTTTTTCCTAGCTACTGTCTCAGAGTGGGAATGGAGGAGGTTGACTAGATGAGAAATGAAGGGTAGGATGTTTAGGTAGCCATCTTACACAATTTTCTATCTGTGCAACATGTGATACTGTGGACATTTTGGATATGGAATTCAATTGAGGCAGCAAACTAAAACAAAAATGAAAATGTATGGTGGAGAAATATTAATAGTACATGGGTTTAGAGCCCATGTTATCAAGTGATTGGTAATTTGGTACCCTTTGTAGCTTTGGGAAAAAATATTTGGAATCCTGCTGAAAGTCTAATCAGCTCTTTATGAATTTTTTTTTTTTCCTGACTGCATTCCATTTTTAGTTTGTCTAGCATTTTAAATCCCTGTAATGGTCCGTCATGTTCTTAACTTCCTATTTGATACAGTCTCTTTTTCTTTTTCTGTATTTGTTATTATTATTATCTATGATATGTGAAACACCTTCAAATCCAGAGTATAAAGGGCACTTATTGACACAATGGATGTCCACTTGTTTGGCACTTCATAGAAAAGGTGGAAGCTTCAAAATATTGTCTAGTTTTGGTTGTACAAGGATTTTGCCTTTTTTTATGTGAAGTTGTCATTACAAAGTCACTATCTTCATACAACCACCACCACCACCACCACCAAGCCTTTCTCCAAGTTACTTGGGATCGGCTACATGAATCCAGTGTTGTTAAAGGCGCGCCTAGGCTCAAGGCGCCGGTCTAGCGCCTATTGTCATTCCAGGCTTACTGATGTTTACTAGGCGCGCGCTTCGGGTGCGCCTCGTCCTGTTTGTCAGGCGTGCCTCATTGATTTTTTATTTTATTTTAAAAAACTATGATTATTCTATTTCTTAAGCCAAAAAGGATACTTTTGGCAACTTAATAAATAAATAAGAAAGCCCAAGCATACGAGATAAGAAACTTTTGTTCAAAATAATAAACAAATAAGAAAGCCCGAAAGTCAAGTGTCAACAGAACACAGAAAGAGTGAGACAGTGAGACGAACGACGAAGCCATGTCAGTTCTTTCTTCTTCTTCTCTCTCTTCTCCTCTACTTGCCTCTCCTCTCTTCTCTTCTACTCCTCTCTTCTTATATTTGTTTACATTTCTCTCTTCGTCTAGTTCTATTATCTCTCTGTCTTTTTTTTTGGGCGGCCTCGGTTTTCTCTTTTTTCTCTTTTTTTTCTTTAACACTTGTTCTTTCTTCTCGTCTACTTTTCTCTCTTCATTTACTTTTTCTGTCTCTGCGTCTATTTTTTTGGCTCTGTTTTTTCTTTTCTTTTCTTGTTAACAGTTTTTTTTTTGTTAACATATTTATTTATTTTTGTGCTCTATTTTGCCATTCAAAAAAAACAAATCCTGCTTTGCCTTTCAAGAAAACAAATTTGTGCTCTATTTTATGATTGTTGGATGCTTATTTGGTTGAAGGATTTTCTTTTTTATATTTGATATTAATTTTTAGAGTATTGATATGACTTATGAGCTATGAATGTTTTTATGGTAGTTTAAATTTTCAATTGTGCGCCTAGGCTCCAAAGGACCTCTAGCGCCTTGGTGTGCGCCTTGGGCCTTTAATAACACTGCATGAATCCCATGTTTCCATTCTGCTCTGTTTAAGGCCATAGCCTCGAAGTCACTATCTCCATAACTTCCAAAAAAAAAAAGCCATTGTCTTCATCATTTTATCACTCTTTTGTATATATATTTCGTCATGTCTTGTTCTTCTTCATTAAATTTTCAATTTAGTAAATTTACAAGCAATATTCATGTGGGGCTAATCCGCTAATGTCATGTAGCGTGTGGATTTTATGACCAGTTTGATGGACCATGTAAACCATGTTTTCTGCACCTTCTCTTGTTCTTCTTCATTTGTTGTTGATTCATAATTCCTTTGAGTATAAAATTGTGTTTCTTCACAATAGGAAGCGTTTGGATGCAACTCTTCAAGATCTGGAAGAAAAGCAAAATAGCAAGAAAGATGCGGTTGGTATCTTTTCCTTTCCACATGTATCATATTTGCATTCTTATGATATCTCTGCTAGTTCAACCGGTCTTTGATTATGTTTTCTCATGGTGATTGAGAAATTTATGTTGAAGCTGGAATTAATTGTGTAAGATTGTTTTGTTGCTGGTTCATATTTATCTTGATCTTTGATATGCTTTGTTTGGTACTAAAAAAGGAAAATTGAAAGGAATGGTAAGAATGTAAGATGGTGGAAAAGATAACCCCCTAGGGAAAGGAAGGAGTCCTTTTCCATATTGTTTGGATGGTTAGGAAGGAAATGAAGAAGGAAAGAAATGGGTGTTGTTTGATTTGACCATTATACCCATAAATAGTAAAAATAAGCTAATGGCAAGTGTGAAAAAAATTTAAAGATGCAAAACGTTCTCCTTTTTTCCTTTCACTTTTGGATGCATGTATAGTGGTGGACTTGGTGGGGGACCTCCTCCCTTCATTTTCCCTACCAAACAAGTCGTACCCCATTTCTTCCCTTCATTCTTCCCCTACTAAACAGTGTTAGTTAGTGATCATTGGGTAGAGGGTGATATCTTCCTTATTGGAGATATATTAGTGAGTATTCTCTTCCCTGTAATGATAAACATCAGGATTGAAGATTCAAGGTCAGCCCAATAATTGTACGATTAAAATGTACAATGTCACACGAAATAAAATCATTATGGCAACCAGAAGTAACGTTGATTTATCAGTAAATCGCTGTTGTTCATTTAAGCTATATATGATATGGTTGTGACTTGTGAGTGTGGTTTAGTTGAGGCTTCAATCTTTCAAGTGTAGAGGTTAAAAGCACATTCATGTAACTTCCACAATCGATGATGCTTAGTTGTGCAACTTGTCGTCACAACCAACTAGTGTATGAAAAATGGTCCTTTCACTGCTTACCCTCTTAACTTGCTCGAATGGCCTAAGATCCTCTATCTGCACTTTCACTGTTGAGTTCTCCAACCTACCAACCTACAAGGGAATTAACTCACCTGAAATATAGCCTTTCCCCCTTTTTCTTCCACTAATTTTTTCTTCAATTATTTATTTTTTGGGGTGGGCTGGGGTAGGGACCGTTCTTGCTGGGGATGGAGGAAGTCTGAAGTGTTCCATTATTTATTTATTTATTGTTTTTTAATTCTTACCACTAATACATTTTTTTTGATAAGTCTTACCACTAATACATGGCAATTTGAATTTTGAAATATTATTTAATATTGTTTTGTACATTTGTGCGCGCGTGTGTGTGAGAGAGAAGAGAAATTCATTGAAGCAAAGTTGATTTTACCCTAGAATTTGTTAAGAAATATGACTTAACAATTATTGCAAAATACCTGTGTCAAAGAAAACATTTGTTTCACCTTGGTAGTTTGGTGAATTTCTGAGAGGTCACACTTGCAAGTTTAAGCCATTCTTGTGCATTCTAGACCATAATTGCTCTTAATTTGGTCGGCTTTGCTTATAGCATTCATTTGTCTCATCATTTTACAGATATTGAAGTTGCAACAAAGAATTCAATCTCTCCAGGCTGGAAAAGCCAAGGCATAATATGCTTAACTGGTTGGTGCACTTAATCAGCAGCAGTAATTTTGTTCTATTTTAAGGCTTGGATGTAGTTTTTATTATGTATGTTTCTGAAATAGCTGTGCTCATTCTCGCTACTGTCATTGTTCACTTTGTTGGCTGTTTATTTTCAAGGCAAAGTGCGGTGCTTATTTGTCTCTGGATGACACGTGTAGACTATTTCTGATATCACAAATGCTATGCTGCTTACTTTTTGTATTATATCTGGAAACATTTATAAACAGTGAATTAGCTTGTGGAATGTAAAGCTGGAGGAAAGTGGTTGTTATCAAACAAATGTCTTATCATTGTGCAACTTAGCCATCCTCATCTTGAAAGTCATTTGTGAAGAGAGAAAGAATCAGTGAAAAATCATTAGGTCTCAAAATTTTGCTACCAACAAATCAGCAGTAGTCTTAATTAAGAGTTCTCTATATAAAACAAGAAGAATTGCTGATGTTAAATAGGAAAAAAGAACAAGAATCGCCGATGTTTTTAGCATTCTGATCCATAACGAACAATTAGAGATGAATTTTCTACCCAAACTTTGGGTTAGCACCAAGTGGGGACAAGATGAATGAAAATCAATTTTACATGGTGTCTTGAAGAAAGTTAAATGCACCAATGAGAAATTTGATTTAGGATGAATGTGCAAAGATGTGAAAAACTAAAGAGAATGGTCTGTGAATGTTTGTCTAGATGTTGGAAATAGAATCTTGTATAAAGTTTTCAAAGAAGGTGTGGCGCCTAAAAGCTTAATTAGGGAACAAGATTTGTTTGCTTAATTTAATTAGTCAGTACATAGGTTCTAAAGTCTTAATTAGGGAATAAGATTTGTTAGCTTAGTTTTAATTAGTCAGTACATAGGCTCGAGTGAGTTGCTTTATTAGGACATTGTATCTGGAGGGAGGACTACTGACTAATGATTCAAGTTTTCAGAGGGAAAAATACTGATCTAGTGCATTTAAAGACCTAATAATTTATTATCCAGGATGGTTTTGGGACTACTCTTAGTAGATATTGTTAAGTTTTGAATCTGAAGCCAGATGCAACCTTTGAGTTTCTGACAGACACGCATATATATCTGAATATAGGATATACCTAGATGGAATCTCCTATTTGGTTGAATATTGAATTTTTGTAATCCTAAGAGTTATCCACAACTAAATGAATTTTGGGCTTGAAGTGTTTCTTCCTTCCTGGTTTTAAACCCCTTATTATTTTTAGTCTTTAAGCCTTTTGTCTTCAGTTTTGCTTGGTTTGTGAACAATCACATTACATTTTGATTTGAGTAATCTGTTTTCATTTGCAACATGGTTCATGTCTTCTTCAAGTGGAAAAGACACAAAGGTAATGCTCCTGAACATTAGGCAGATAAATATGCACATGAATTACATGTTATATAGATAACATTAGTCAGATATATAACATTAGACAGATAAAATGTAAGTATAACATGTTATAGATAAACATTTAGACAGAAAAGGAGGCATGAACCATGTTAAGATAGAGATAAAGATGCAAATAGATAACATGTTAAAAGGTAAATGTGCATAGTAACTATTGATATGTTATAGAACTCCTTAATTAACAGCAAGAAAGAGCGTTTTGTATAATCATTGTCTTAAAAACTACTAAGATCCTCTCCTCTCCTTCTAAAGCGAAAGATAGAAAGTTCGAGTCAGTTCGAGTCTAACGAGAACATTGTGTGAGTTATTTGGCAAAACACACGCCCGCGCACAGAGTCTTATTGTAGAAATCTCTTGAGATTTCATGCGTTTGGATCTGACTTGAGCCATTGACTTCATTTGGCAAATGAACATTGGACCACATTGTTCACGTGGTTCTGTCAAACCCAATGTCTCCAATCATTATCCTTATCATCATGTAGTGTGTGAATTTTCTTTTGAAAATATTTGAAATCACAAAACAGTGATCTTTGATCAGAAAAAAAAAATCTCAGAACTTTTCGTACAAGAATTACAAGTTGGGTGTGTCATATATTCATTAGACCTGAGTCAGAGAGACAACCATGAATCATCTATCCTTCTTTCTATCTAGTAATTCCACCATCTAAATTAAGTGCACGCCTTCTTATCGCATTGTACTCTCAGAGCATCCATCGCCAGAACCCACTAGCTCCATCTGTAACAAGTCCACACACACACACACACACACACACACCCACACACACACTCTCTCTCTCTCTCTCTCTCTCTCTCTCTCTCTGCAGGAGAAGGAATACACTTAGATATGATTGGTTGGGATGATTCAATAAAAGGTGCTCCAACAGAGTTAGAGCTATGTTCTATCCAATAACATTAACAATAATTTCCCATATGAAAAAGCTTCCTCCAGCATTTTCATTGTGCTTTTGAGGACAGAGGGCAATGAGTTTAATATATTATATATCCCATACACATTTATTCACGTGTGATTTTCTTTGATCCACAGTGAGTCTGAACTCCATCTTTGGGATGCCAAATTGTTGGTCACATTGTTCTGGACAATTATTTTTGGATGGAGCGAGTAGTTGGGATGCCTTGTCAACACCATCTGCTCGTGAAATGGTGTAACTTTAATATTTCTATTTTTAGCTTATAAAAAAAAATCCCTTAAATATTTATATTCTCTAACAATATCCTGTCATAAATTTTCAAGAATAAATAGGGAGGTGATACATTATGCTTAAATTACACTAATGTTCATTGATATTTTGACAAATTACACACTGATAGACTATTCATTGTTTAATATTTTGACCTTCCCTGACGTGTGCTCCACGACACTTTTAGTGTTTTTTTTCTTCAGCAGATTTGTTGACCAAATTTTATAAAATGATAATTTTGCCACTCTCTTATATAAAATGCAATATAATATATTATTATAATATAAGGGCATTATTGACTTTTAAAGTCACTTTTCAGCTGTCGATGATCGAGTTTAGGGACAGTCAAAGTAATAAACGATGAGCGGTGCAATTTGCTCAAACTTCGTATAATATCAATGCAATTTACCTCTACATCATTTACTTTGATTTAACTTATGAGATTCAAAGGGGGCTTTAAAGTCATTTAATTTAAAAAAGAAAAAAAAAAAAAAAATAGTTCATTTATCATTTTTCAAACAAATATATCCTTAAAACTTAAAGGTGTACTATACATCCCAAGTAACGTATCAAGTGCGCAAATATAGTGTAAATCAAAGAGGATTGCAGTTGGTTATATTGAATTTAAGCCTAAAGTCATTATGGTGTTACTTACAAGTGCTCAAAGTCAAAAACTTATCAACCATTTTCTATAAAAATCTTGCTAATAAGATATTTTTATTTGAATAATGTTGCCTTCTTTAGCGTGACATTTTGAGATGTAAAGATTGTTTATTATTCAAAATTTAAAAATTCAGTGACATGATACTAAAGACTGCACATTTGTCACTAATTTGAAGCCTCCCTCGTCATTCAAAACTGGTACATGTTGTGGAAACATAATAATCTTATCAAATTAGACCAACTTGACTTACAAGACGACAAAAGTTATATCAAATAAAACCAACTTTTTATGCGTTTGAAAGAGATATAGTAAAAATTGAATTATATAATAAAATATAAAAAAATCTGGATCAGAAATCATGCGTTTACCTCATGTACCATTAACGCGACAGACTTTGTTTCTGAATTAGTGATATAAAGTTGTTATCTAAACAGTATAAAAATACTTAGTTTAATATTTTTTTGGATAATAATAATTATTTAAAAAAAAAAACAGAAATAACATTATTGGGTTGGTATTGACATTACTTTCGAATCAGCAATAACTTATAAATCATCAATAGAAATGAAATAAATCTGTTGATAATGTAAAATTATTGTGTTGGACATGACATTTATCAAAAATTGATAAAAAACTAGGTTGCATCCGTTGAATGGTACAACAGCTGCATCAAATCGTTCATTATTACATATAGCTTATATATGTATTATACGAATGATTCGATATATTCGTTATACTATATAACGGGTACAATTAAATTTTTCTGCAATTTTTGACCGGGAACGTAATCCGAAGGGGATACCAAACATTAACTAGTGTTTAAAAGAAGACCACAATTCGATTCTGCACACTACTGAAAATATGGGCCGAGACGAAAAAAAATAAAAAAAAATAAAAGTGGTTTGACTTTTAGGCTATAATTTCCAAAGCAACCTACTTTTTGGCACCTTAGAGTCAGAGCTTTCTCCTCAAAATTCATTCGGTCTTAATGAATAAGAAAAAAAAAATTATAGTCAGCGGGCAATGTTTGGATTGGACACATGAAATGACCAGCTTTGCCAATTGCTTTATGCCACCTTTTATCTTTGATTAAACTTCATATATAATTCAATATATTTTAAAATTGTAGCTAATAGATAATTCAAGTTTTTTTTTTTTTTTTTTTTTTTTTTTTACAACAAAAGCCCCGGCATCTACAAAAAAACATGACCATAAAACACAACCAAAGCCAAACGGCACGTACAACACAGAACAACTAAGACAAAAAGAGACGGGACTTCATTGTCTAATCTAAAGTGCAAAGAACCTAAGGTGTAAAGAATCACAAGGCCATGTTTGGCACTTTCAATAAGAAGGACCACTCAACTTCAAATTTTCAACCCTTAGCCATACAAATAAATTGGATGAATATATATATATATATATATATATATATGGATTGCATTCATTTGTCTTGTCTAAATTAAACTCAATCAACCCATCAATTGGGTTGGAAAAGAGAGAATGTTTCTTTTGAATGTAAAGCCAAAGTTCACAACACAATTTCATTATGAGATGGAAGCATTACCCAAAGTGGAAAGGACTTATATTCTCTCCTTTTGATCTCAACCTCACCCATGCCATCTAACCCTACCAAAATATTTTTAGGAAATTCTTGAAAATCACATTTAAGCCTTAATCTGGTTACCACGTGTTGATCGATTTTCTGAGATATTTGGATAGAATCCTAAGAGCCAATTTTGATCAATTCAGTGAAAGGATAAGTTTCATTGCCAACCATTATTAAGTTGTGGACCATGAAATGACCCAAAAAAAAAACCACACTTTAATAATGTAACATGCATCATTAATATAATGTAGACAATTGGCCACGTTAATATTGTATGCATAACCTAGGATCAAGGGCAATGCAGAATCTTGGTTCATAAAACATTTGTCTTTGCTGGCCAGTCACTTCCAAGTTGTAGGGGTGTCCCTTATCAGTTGAATCATTTATAATAGAAATCTTTCAAGTAGGAACATGAACAAAGCTAACTAGCTTGATAAACGTTATTGCCTATATAAACTGTAACCGCTTCATTATATATTATGCCTTTTAAGATTTGAATATTCAACCTCTTCATTTGAAGAAGAAAGCTTATACCATTTAGACCAGTCTTCAGTCTTCCCTCGCAATACCCAAATTAATGCTAACACATTTTTCAAATAGTTATATATACAAACACATAGGTAACATCCCACATGATATCTCTATCATCACATTCTTCTATAAGACCCGGGCCCATCTACTATATATATACACACATACACATACACACATTAGAATGTTTTTTATTACTCTATTATTATCATAGCTACATCTTATGAATTGTTACTGAAACTGTAATTTTATTTTTCTCAAAAATTCAAGTAAACGCACGTTCTCACAACATTCACAACATTTACCTTTCCTAAAAACGGAAGAGACCATACATATATATATATATATATATTGTTTGGGTTAATGCCTATTGATTTTGATTTTGGTTTGTTAGTTAATAAGATATGTTAGTAAAATAATATGTAATTATAGATATTAAGGAATACTTAACCCACCAAGGTTGGAAGGAGTGAAGTAAGATTCTGCATCAGACACCAAAATCATAGCCTTAGATACTCCACTGATTGAGTTGGCGAAGGCAAAAAGATAACTAACAAGAAGCAATATCATGTGTAGTTTGATGGGAAGTGATATGTGAACCACCCTCCTTAAAAAGGCATGTCCTCTATGAATGGTCCCTTCTGTTAAGCAAAACCCACTTGTGCAAGCACATGGATGGATGGAGAGCCATTCAATAAGTTTATGATGAACACACTCTATACCGTGAACTCGTTTCTTCAGTTATTGGAACGGGATTTGTCCTTGTTCATATTAACTTTTCTCCAAATTATTTCTAGAAGTCATGCTCCTAACTTTGAAATGACATTATCCTTTCGAATTCATCTCAACCACTAATACTCTAATAGTCCAATCTAAGTAAAAATCTAATGATTGATTGGAAAATACCAATTTCCAAAGCATAGATGCTAAATAATCGAGTCTCTATTAGGGTGGCAAAAATGAGTTTGCTCAATCCATCACTATCAAAAGGCCTAAATGTAGTAAATTGTTTGGAATATAAATTTTTTTATTTATTATTATTTTTTTATGTTAGCTAGGGAAGCATAAAATTATCATGCAAATCAAATTAAGGACCACAAAGATTGGAGAAGTAGAAGTTTCATGGAAGAGGACCACCATTTTTCGGACGATGACAACTACTTTTTCGCCACGTGGCCATCCTTTCAATCACGGATTATTATTATTATTATTATTATTATTTTCTTTCTTGATCATTGGATATAAAACATGTGTCTAAGAAGAAAAGGCCAACAATATGATGATGATATGGTTGAGATGATTAAACGATCACAAGAATATTGTTGCGAGTCTTAAAGTAACATTTTGGTCATGATTCATGAGTGAGTTAGTTAGAGACGGCACTCTAGCCGTCTAAAAAATTCACTTTTTGTGACCTCTAAAATCAATATAATCACAATAGCGTATGTGCGATTCCTCTCAACTTTCCTTCAATTATCTAATCATGATCTCACCATAAATCGCTATAAAGTCCACAATTTGTGAATTACATGAAGAATGCTACGTGTACCTTTTGTTTCTTATCTTTAGTGGGATACTAATTAATTATACTATTATATATATTTTAAGAAAGTTTCTATTTCATTAGTATAAATTTGGTTCCACATATCATCATCTTCTTCGTCCTCTTATAATTTATAAAAAATTATTACACTGAAATTATACAATTCGACCAATCACAATATGATATGTTAAGTAAAAATTTATATAAAATTAACACATTTATTTACGTATCAAGACCATGTAATCTAGAAGTATGCAAAAATTTCAGGTGATTTTATTAGGGATGAGTATAAACGACTTTCTTGGTTTACTTGACTATTCATGAACATATGGAGCCTTTTCCTGTGTGGTGGTTATACAAAACGCTTAACCCACATACTTTATAATTAATATAATATTATATATATATATATATATATATATATATATGTTTATACACACATACATAGAGAGAGTTGTCCATATCATATAACTCTCCCAAAGCGTAGGATGTCTCACGGGCCTCATGAGTAGGCCCTACCGATACTGAGGTCCAAAGCCATCCATCCCTTTTTTCCCCAACTCGCAATTAGAGGGAGAGGGAGAGAGAGAGAGGGGGGGTAGACTCAAGTAGTTGGAACTAAATTTGATTCTGCTTCTGCCGGCTGCACATGTGAAGCACGTGACTTTAAATATTGAAATCATACAATATAACAATGCTTCCAAGAAGAAATCAGCATGTATAATGTAATAATTATAATACTCACATATGTGGGTTTAATCTTCACTGGGTCGTCCATATGCAGATAAAGTGAGGCTATTAAAGTTAATCTAATTTGGAATGGGTCATCAGACTCATAACATAACGTTAAGGAACAATTCAGAATTTCACGGCAAATTTTGAAGTGGAGAAGCACTAAATATAAAAAAATTGAATTCTTAAGGACTCTCAACATTATCACTACTCACAACCTTCTTGTGGGACCCACCTGACTAGTGGACTCCACGAGAGAGCTGTGAATAGTAACAATGCCCGGCCATCTTAGAAGGGGTCCTAAATATGTTATCAACATCATTCAAGTAATAAACAGAAAGTCCGCAAATATTCACAACCATACCACGCGTCCGCTAATTGGAGATGAGTCGATGCATATCCGCACACAGAGAGAGACGGTTGGATATATGGAGGGAATCCATTTTCACACGTATGGTTCTGCTTGCCCTTGCATAAACAATTAATCTCTCTGGTCCTTGGGAGTTGGGAGAGAGAGATGAAATTGAGTTGTTGGGGGAGGCTTTGCAGCGCGTCACTCCTCTAAAACAAGCTCCTATTGGTCCACGTGGCATCCATAAAACAGACCCCTTCCGAAATCTACTACGGCTGTCTGCTCCATTCCTATACTCCTGATATGAACACACCAAAACATTTTCACTCAAATCCATCCTTCAAAAGACCCATCTATATATCAATCACCCCAACATTCATTGATGATGGAGCTCCCACCAACACCAACACCTCCACCATCACCATTTCTCTCTCTCTCTCTCTCTCTCTCTCTCTCTCTCTCTCTTACGCACACAGATTTCCATCTCTGCAACTGCATTACAGAAATCCACGTCTGCCATTTCAAGTGCTCTACCCCGTCACGTTTTTCTATCTGCAACTTGTCCCGCTTTTGTTTTTCACTTCTTGTTCAAACACAATGGAAAAATCCCTTTTCAACTTTTTCATTCTATATCCTTTTTACCCTTAAATGATGCATGAGTTGCATAATCCTTCCAACTACGTTGCAAGCGTATTAAAAGAAAAGTAGAAAAAAGAGCCTTTACCCGTGTCAACAACCAACACTTTTCCTATATATAAGCCCTCCAAAGCAACTTAACCCCAGCAAAATGTTTAACAGCTTCTACTGTACGCTTTGAGTAATTCAAACCCATAGAATGTCGTTCTCTTGTGCAAAGAACTTCTTCCAAAGGTTCTGCGTCGAAGAGTTCCGTGCAAATATTGGAACCCATATCAACTTCTTCTCCAGTGATCTCCTCCTAATTCCATCCCTAGGAGCCAGAATCAACCAAGCAACTATACTTCGAAAATACATCATTTCTCCATTCAATCCCCGTTACAGGTGATGACCCTTGCCCCTGCTTACTCATGAATTGTTCAATAAACCACCACTGTTCCTTATTTTTGATTCTTCATTTCAGGGCTTGGCAGATGTTGCTGGTTATTCTAGTCATTTACTCAGCCTGGATCTGCCCATTTGAGTTTGCATTTTTGACTTGCAAACAAGATGCACTTTTTGTGATTGACAACATTGTCAACGGCTTCTTTGCCATTGACATTATTCTCACCTTCTTTGTGGCATACCTCGATAACCAATCATACCTTCTTGTTGATGATCCCAAGAAAATCGCAATCAGGTCAATATGCAGAATTTCATCACACTCTTTACTTAAAACTGATTAGAATCAATGGGCTATTCAGTTCTATTCCCGTAGCAATCACTGAACTTCATATTACTTATTCCCACTTACAGGTACATTATGACCTGGTTTATTTTCGATGTCTGTTCAACAGTGCCATTTCAATCACTCAGCCTCATGTTCACAGATCATTGCAGCGGACTTGGTTTTAAATTACTCAACATGCTCAGACTCTGGCGTCTCAGACGAGTCAGCTCCTTGTTTGCAAGGTCCACCACCAAACTCTAAATGTCTTTGGTTTTCTTCAGGAGTTTAAGTAGTTACATGGGAAGAACCATAATATTCACCAAGCTGGTTTGATTTCCTGCAGACTTGAGAAAGACATTAGGTTCAACTATTTCTGGATTCGGTGCACAAAGCTCATCTCTGTATGCCATTGCAAAACCTCATTTTGCTCCTCTATAAAATCATGTCCAGCATATATTAGCATTAAAAAAATGTGTTGCTCTCCTTTCTGTTTGATTTCAGGTAACTCTGTTTGCAGTACACTGTGCTGGATGCTTTAACTATTTGATTGCAGACAGATATCCGGATCCAAAACGAACCTGGATTGGTGCGGTCTATCCAAATTTCAAAGATTTTCGCATTTGGGACAGATACGTAACTGCAATGTACTGGTCTATCACAACATTAACTACAACTGGTTACGGGGACTTGCATGCTGAGAACACAAGAGAGATGTTGTTTGATATATTTTACATGCTATTCAACTTGGGATTGACAGCTTACCTCATTGGGAACATGACAAATCTCGTAGTTCACTGGACCAGCCGCACCAGAAATTTTGTACGTACTTTATCAAGGTTTTTACATTGTTCCAAAAAGTACCTGTATATTCATAAAAAAAGAAAGAGAAAAGTTCCTATTAGAAAAATGACAGATTAAAAGGATTTTAAATGGAGCAGAATAGGCCCAAGTCCCAATCAACAGCTACTACTAAATTTCCCGCCACTGTGAAAACTAGAAAATTTTCAGCAAGACATCATCTCTCTACATTTTGACAGTTCTATATGAAAATTTTCAAACTCGAAACCAGCCAACTAAAACAAAATACCAGGAAATATTTGTGCATACTACATATTACAATTAAATTAATCATTCTTTTTCCGGAATTATTTTAAGCATCTGAATTTTGCCATCAGTTAAGTAGATTTAAATTTATTTTCTTATGAAATGTCTTTTCTTTTCCAAACTTGTGGGTGCTATTGTCGAAAAACTTTCTTGTGCTTCTGTGTAGAGGGACTCAATCAGAGCTGCTTCAGAATTTGCAGCAAGAAATCAGTTGCCTTCTTGCATACAGGATCAAATTTTGTCTCATATATGTCTCAAGTTCAAAACAGATGGATTGAAGCAGCAAGAAACATTGAATGGTCTGCCAAAAGCCATTCGTTCAAGCATTGCACACTATCTCTTCTCCCCTATTGTTCAAAATGTCCGTCTTTTCCAAGGTGTTTCTCACGATTTCCTTTTTCAATTGGTATTTTCCTTTCCTCTCTTGTTTCTCTTTTCTCTGTTTGTAAGCAAAAAATGTAATTTTTACAGAGCAATCAAAAAGCAAAAGACATAGAGCAAACCCATAAATTCTGGTGTTCTTTTATATGTAACGTTGTGTGGTCTTCTCAAAAACCAATACCATATTTCTTTTATAAAAGGTTTCTGAAATGGAAGCTGAGTATTTCCCACCCAAGGAAGATGTGATTCTACAGAATGAGACTCCAACAGATCTTTACATACTGGTATCAGGAGCAGTGGTGAGTTTAAAATTTCTGTCACAAAGTTATTTAAATCCTCAACAGTGCTTTATCTCTAACACCTCTGGTTCGGGAATGATTTGTGGTGGCAGGATTTGATTACACTTATTAATGGGCGTGACCAAGTATGTACTTCCAATATTATACTACTCGTTATCACAAAAAAAGCACGCAGTAAATCTAACTTCACATTCCCTCATTTACTGTACAGATTTTTGAGAAGGCTGTGGCAGGGGACATGGTAGGAGAAATAGGGGTTCTATGCTATAGGCCACAGCCATTCACTGTTCGAACTACTGATATTTCTCAAATATTACGGCTGAACAGAAAAACACTGATGAAGATTATTCAGGCAAATACAGAAGACGGATACATTATTATGAACAATCTTTTCCAGGTATATTTAAGATGAAATTAAGTAAGATATATTTCAATGGCTGTACCCTTCCTCTAATTTGCAACATTAGTTGATTTTCCCTGTTCACCATGAACAGAGACTGAAAGAACTGGAAAGCTTTGGCTTTGTGGACCAACAAACAGATCCATATTTGTCCCTCAGTGAGTGGTTCGACGGAGGACCGAAAGGAGAAAGCTATTCTCATGATGTATACCAAGATCATCCACATGGAGATCCATTGATATCGGAAGAAAGGGACTTAGATTTCCTTAGTTCAGTCGCCACAGAGAATGAAAAAGGAAAAGCTCATGCTTCTACTAGAAATGAAGTGGATGTAAATTCGACAGCTGAGGATGGCCAAACAGCTCTTCACGTTGCCGTTCGTAAGGGGCATCTTGAAATGGTTAGGGCTCTGCTGGAAAGAGGAGCAAATGTGAATAAACCAGATGTGCGGGGGTGGACACCGAAAGCTTTAGCTGAGCAGCAAGGAAACAAAAGGTTATATGACCTTTTGTTAGGTTATGAAAAAGGAAGTATATTAAATGAACACAAAATAGATTTTATTGGGCCAGAAACAGCTGAAAACACCAGGAAAGGTCAATTCAAACCTACAAGAAATAGAGGCCCCAATTGTTCCAAATCTTGTTCTAGAAACGTAGTCACATCCTTGAGCTCAAGCAATTCTAACTGTCCAACTAATAGAGAATTTACAAAATTAACCAAGAGGAGAGTCACCATTCACATGAAGTTTCAAAAGAACAATACATCACAAAAGCAGTTGGGGAAGCTGATAGTCCTACCTGATTCACTAGAAGAGCTATTCAAGATTGCCGGTAAGCTTTGTTTGACTTCAATAATAAACCTGAAAATTTTGAATTAATTAGTTTCATTATCATTAGAATAGATTCAAGTAGAAATGAAAATGAAAAGCCAACATGTTAACAAATCCAAACCTTGAATACAAATTGGATGTAATGTTTCAGCAACAAAGCATGTTCCTTTCTTAATGCTTTATTTATGCCATCATCCTGCACCTTGTGGAACTGCAGGTAAAAAATTTGGAGGCTACAATCCTACAAAAGTTGTAAGTGCAGAGAATGCAGAAATAGATGACTTAAGTGTAATCCGGGATGGGGATCATCTGTTTCTCCTTCACAACGAGTGTGGAAGTCCAGATTGTGACATGACCTAATTGTTATTGAAAGCATACATTGTAGACAGGCAGATAGCTTGTAGCTTTGATGCATTTGTATATTATGATATTCTAACAAAAGTAGCATACATCAATTTATCAAAATTGGTTCTCCGAATCAATAAAAGGTATTGGACAACTGGGGAAATCAATTAAATATGGATGCCTTCAACAGATTACAGGAGGAAAAACTCTGTCCAATCATATGACTGTATCTACTTAAAGAAATAAATATTGCAAGATGGTCATGAATCCTAATCTTGTGAGCAACAATACAGCTAGAGAATTCCCAAAATTTCCCTCCTAGGTCTTCAATGTGATACGCAAGGATGCAGATAAAAACACTGATGCACATCACCAGGAAAAATCAAGTTGAGCTGCCCTTAATACTTCAAATGTCATGGCCAAATTTCCTTTTCCGATGTGATAATAGGACCCATATAAAATGTACACCAGTAATTCAATCTGTGCTCACTGACATGCAACTTAGTTCTTACATGCTTTAACTCGTACTGCACTTCGGCTGCAGTATTTATTCCCTCCTAGCAGAGACTTTAATAGGAAAAGGATGAGCTTCCGTGTTAAAAACAAACTCATCCAAAGGAATTACTGTACTATCCCCAAACAGCAAATATAAATACTTCAGTGTTTCGCCCAAGAAGAAGGTCTCCATCTTATCTCTTCTTTGTGGAGGAAGTGTGGTGACATCATCTAGAGAACTGTAACCCCCCGAATCAATCTTTGTGTATTTCTCAAATGCCTCAAAAATCTCCCAACCCCATTCACGATATCTACAGGAGTACATTACAAAAAAGTCGAAACGAATGGCAAAATATTAGAAACATCACTGAAGAAAACATGTAGAGAAAAATACAGGAAAAACTGAATGCTGAAAAAATTTCGGAGCATACTTTGGATCTTCTGTAATGCGATATAAAACAAACAATGATTCAACAGTTTCAGGACGCAGAAGATTGTGACGATCAGCAGGTTTGATTATTATATCATTTACATATTTCGAACTCTTGTTTCCACCATCAAGACCTCCTTCAGGGTTTTCCTGCTTAAATTAAAACCAGATATCAAATCTCTATTCCCCATAGACAATAGGAAATGCAAGAAGACAGTTCAAAATACAAGTAGACAAACAATACAATAGCCTGGTTCAGAGAGTAAACATAATTGCTGTATGGAACATTGATTTCAAGATTTAGACTATAATCCAACAAACCTCCATATTGAAATACACAATTTCTGGTGCAAGACCAGTAGAAGTGACTGAATACATCTCAAAGCATGTCTTAGCCAGATCTTCTGCAAGCTTCAAATTTTCCAAGTCTTCAAAGGTGAGCAAATTGTTTTTCATAGCCTTTTCCTTTGTAATGCCTTTGGTGGCACCAAGCGCAAGAGTACCAGGCAGGAAACAAACCTGTACAGGGCATTAAAATTCTTGTTCAACAAGAACTTGGATAAGGAGACTGAGAGACCAAAGATGAGCTTATCCATGTTTATTCCATTGAAAAAATGGTTGCTTTTACCAGCAAGCAACAACATCACAACATGAACTTGATGCTTTAAATTATTGTGCAAATACACATGTAAATTATGTAATTACATATTCTATGCATTTAAAACAAAAAAAATTTCTGTTTCAACATGCCGGCCGCTTCCTCACATCAGTCAGTAAAATGGTACCAAGAACATCACAAACTAAAATCTGACTTCAAGCTCCAAAAATATGATTCATGTGGAAAGTTCTATAATGTAGATTTTTAAATCTGTGCGGAAGTAAAGGAAGGATAAAGGAACCATCCATTTCAAAGTGTATATTATCACATTTAACTCGATAACTATAACTTAACACATTAAGAGAGGCAGAGAATCTCAATTATGTGCAGCCAGCTTCCCTTTTTCTTTTCTATTTTGTTGATAAATTCACCCAGTCAAGAGATGCTTTTGTATAAATAGCCCACAGCGCTCAGTTAAAATACTTGGAATATGTTTCTAGCACACAAACTTTGTTCTCAGATGTCCAACAAAAAATTCTGCAGCAGCTTCATTTTTTAAAAATCTAAAATTTTGCAAAGCTATAGCATGATGTATACAAAATCTACATATTAGCAAAGGGGACGGGGGTGTTGGAAGAGTTCATAAGATCTGGTAAGCACATTGTTGAATTTATCAAATATAATATAAAAATTTGTACAGCACTAGAAGTTTTGCTGATGAAAACACAATTATTCATATTGCAAGAACTAGGATATATGAGGATTTAATGATGCCATGTTGATCAAAGTGGAAAACCAGTAAAAAAAACCCAATTAGTGTTAACTGTTTTGTTAATCTCCCAACTTCTTAGTGTGTATCAAGTAACCATGGGATATTTTGGTAATTGATCAGCTTGGGGATGACATACAAATTAAGTAGCACATACCAGGTGATCCATTTTAGGACTAAAAGCACCACTAGGCCCATAAGGTAATTCGCCCACAAAAACCAATCCATTTGGGATAGATTTCCGAACTAGAAGGTGCTTGACACCCTTCATTGCTTCCTCATACATATGATATAAGTACGTCCAATTGCTTTCTCGATTCTGAAGCCATACTTTTATAAGGTACTCATAGTAGCTGTCACCACGAGATCCCAATCTGATATTTTCTCCACTAAATTCACCAGAGTGAGGGCTGCAATCACAAGGAGATACCAATTAATAGCCATGATAAACCCACATTAACCAAAAATCTAATTTATATACAAAAAGTTAAAAATTAATTAGAAGAAAATAGAACAAAAAAAGCAAGTATCCAAACAATATAAATACACAAGTTAATACCACTCACGAAACGTGATACTTCCGAATTAAAGTCATATCAACAAAGCCTCAATCCCAAATCTTTGGTGTTGTACTGATGATTATAGATTGAGGAAAAATTATATCAACAAGAAAAAAATCTAGATAATATCTCACCATTATAAAGATGCTAATGATATTGGCGTTAACCAACTGTAATTTACACCCATTCATCATCACCCAGTGATAGATGGTTTCAACATTAAAATAATCAGTTCCTGCATGGATACCAAGGTCGAGCATGGAGAACCACTCTTCCCCAACCCCTTAACTACAGGGCAGCACTATAAAAAAAGGCCTATAAACCATGCCCAAGCCTGGGCATGGCTGGGCTGAGTGAACCGTTGGGCTAATGTCTACCCCAAGGCGGCACAGCCTGTGACCATCCCTACCATCTATCAATGAATAGTTAATAATCCTTGATGAGACCCCATGGCCATCCACATTACCAGGGTACTGTGACCACCAAAAAACAAAATAATAACAATAATAAATAAATAAATAAAATTCTAGGGGCAAAAAAGCCATTAAACTGAAGCAACATTGTAGCTAGGCAAAATTCATTTTTGTCCCGCATTTTAAAATGGTTCACCCGAATCCTTTAAAAAGCTGGCGGATTTGTGGGTCAGGAAGGATTTTGCCACCCCTAATTGTAGCAGTTCAAGGGTAGAATGAATAAAGGGAAGATACTTCATGTCCAAGAAAACTGGGGTACAAGTGTATAAATTAATTATGAAAAACTTTAAATGCTAAAGTTATACCTTATGTAAATAGGAGTCAATCCTTCCACCTTTTGGAGAGTCTTCAAATGCTCCAAAACCTTCATAGATTCTGAACTGTATTTGGGATCACCAGTAAGAGAACTGAGATAGTTGAACTCAAGCTGTAAAGTGGAAACTTCTGAAGTGCTACTCAGTCCACCAGGAGCAGGATGTGCAGAGCGGTCACGCAAAACAACGTCGCTGAAGGGAATAGCAGTTGGACTTGAAGTAAAAGCAGTTAGCAGACGATCAGCCAAGTTCCTAGCAATTTCAAGATAGAGAACTGGTTTAGGGCCCTTGTTTATTGGAATTTTCCCTTGTTCTCCCCCACTTAAATGATAAGCACTTAGAAGACCACCAAGAACACGGATGGTAGTTTCAAATAAATTAACTTGGCCTTTCTGACTAAACCTATCTGGAAGGTGAGTTTCAATCCATGAACCTGCATCAGAAACAACGTCATCAAGTCCCATTATCATGGCCGTGTCAAGAGCATCCACAACAGTAGCACCTAGACCTCCCAAGCCATCTACTCCCCTCTGGCTCAGTGGCATAAGCTCGTCATAACCCATTGCATAGTTCTTATAGCCAGACCATGCATGGATAAATGCCTTCTTAACACTTTGTTGCCTAGCTATCCATTTAGGAGCTTCATTTAGCTTCTCAGGATCATGAATGGAATTATTATTACTGCCAATTTCATCAGGCGTTAACCGAGGAGGAAGCCTTGGTGGTTTTCTCCAAAATCTGCCAAATCTGCTGCCACCGCCCGTCATGAGCTTATCTCCATCCTTTGTCCCAATATCTTGTGCTAGACCATCAGAAACAGAATGGATGGGGCTCGTGCGGGTTAGCATAAGATATGCTAAACCACCAATCATTAATAACACCAAAAACCTTCCTGTACTACATTTCATATAGCGATTCTTCACATTTGTGGTGAGCAAAGTCTGAGTAATCGCCTGCAGAAAGAAGATATCAACTTACAATCTATTCAAAGCAGAAATCTGCGCTCTGGAAGATATAAACAAGCATAAATATAGCATATAAGGGGTTCAAGATTTAAGAAGATACTTCTCAGAGGAGGGGAATCAATAAAATAACAAGAGTATAAACCCCAAGGGGTTGGCTCAAGTGGATAAGAACTTAGACCGGATGCCATTTTTTTTTGGGGGGGGGGGGGGGGGTGGGGGGGTGTGTTGGGGTTGTGTTTAACCAACTAGGAAAAAAGAAACAAGAGTATAGAAAAAGCTGCCCCAATTTTTGGACATCTCCTCTTCTATAGTGTGAAATGATATGAAGTGTCCATAATGGTGTATTACATAATTTACATGGCAACTTCACAGATCTTTTAGTCCATGAAACATTTTATAAATGAAGTCTACCCGAGGCTCCATTTGGTTCGTGAATTTAGAGATGGGAAAAGAAAAGATATTAATGCAAAAGGAATTCTTTTCCTTTGTTTGGTTACCCTGGAAGAAGAAAAGAAGAAAAAAAGAAAATATAAGGGAAAAGCAAGGGAGGAATAATTAATTTACAAGTCATGCTCCTTTTCTTTTTCCTTATTTCCAGCCATTTTGGAGAAATTTTTATTTCTAATTTCATTTCAAGGATGAGTTAAAATCTGATGGAAATCTTTTTTCTTTTCTTTATCCTTTCGTTTCCTTTTCCTCACTAATCTGCAAATCATAAAGAGCCAAACATATAACATTGAATAATAATGTGTTTCTATTTACCTTCCTTTAAACATGCTTGTAAATAATTGACCGTATGTTTGATACCTATCCTAACACACAAAACAGGCTGAGAAATAAAATTACGCATGCTTTTGTTCCTTCAGCAAAACATGCAATTTTTATTTTTTATTTTTTTGACAAGTAAAGATTGTATAAAAGAAGCATTCAAAAGGGGATCGCGTCCCTCAGCAAAACATGCAATTGAAATCCACAAAAATGAATATGGTAAATAAGTACCGAATGAACCTTCCGAAAAAAAAAAGAAAAAATAAAAGAAAAGAGAGAATTGAATGAGATAGATTGATAAAACCTTTTATGGGTATAAAAGCCCCAAAAATGAAGTGCAATATGTACCATCAACGTCAGAGTAGATGTGTATTAGAGGCTCGAGACATGAAAAATAAGTGTGGTTAAAAATCTGGTACTTATCACTATGCTAATCGTTCCTATCAATGCCAATATATAACGGTGACAAACAACATGTCTGCCAGTCAAATCTAGTCCTCAACCTCAAAAACATTTTTTCTTCTTCGAGACTTATCTGTATAGAGGAAGTACTCGAAGGTCTTTCAAATCATAAACATTAGCCACCCAACTCTGGGATACATTATCGAGAGTTGTCTAAGGAAATGATGTTATCACAACAAGTCTCATCCCCAGAGAGGCATTCCTTGCAATATTTATTATTTACGCTAAAATTAGCTTATTTTTAAAGAGGAAGTCCTAATGATACATGAAGGCCTTGTCAAAAGGCCACGTGTCCCATATGGAGCTTCACTCATCCTCTACAAAATCCCCAAAGATCATTTATATGCATGCCACATGCCCCTAGCCAACACATTGAGACATACATTGAGCGCAAAGGATCTACATGAACAGCCTTGTGTTTTTGCCATTAATAACATTGGTATAACAGTGCTATCAGCAAAACAACTCCGGACATCTTTATTAGGGCATTTGGAAGATTGATATACTAAAACTATCTTCCAAGTTCCAAGAGAAGTATTGTAAAATAACTACCTTATGCTAAAGAGCCTTTTTTATGGACAATTTTGAGCTAAAGTCTCTTTTCCTCGCTACCTCTCTAAAAACAGCAAAGAAAGCTAAGGGCCTGTTTGGCAACCAAAGTTGCTTTGAGCTTGTGCTTTGACCCGAAGCAAAAGCAATGTTTCTACTTTAGTGTGTGTTTAACACTATTTCAAAGCTTGTTTGGTAACGTAAATTTGTTGCAAGATTTTTGGAAGTAAAAACATGAAAGCATGTTTGGTAAAAAGTGTAGCAAGTTTGAAAAATTGAATGCCTAGTTGAAAATGTTATTTTAGAAAGAAAAAAAAATAATAAATTAATAATTTTTTTTTTTTAAAAGTGTTTTGCTACGGTACGGAAGCAAACAAAAACATCATTTTATGCTTCCGATTTTGGCCTCAATTTTGGAAGCGCTTCAGTACTATTCAAATGACAACAAATATTACCAAACATGCTTCGTGCTTTTGTTTCACTACAGCACACTAGCAAAAGCAAAAACACGAAGCAAAAACATTAGCCAAACGGGCCCTAAGTAATTGAATTATAATGCTTAAACATGATACATTTTGTCAAGGAATCTATAGTGGAATTTCTATAATTAATTCACCATCTAACTCAATGTAGAGTCCCTAATTGCTTCTCTAGGAGCATATTATGGGTTTTTCAGCTTATAAAGTCTAGAAATTTTCCATCTTACAGTGCTTTGCAAATAGTTGGATGGTCTAACTCAATGTAGCGTCCCTAATTGCTTCTCTAGGAGCTTATTATGGGGTTTTCAGCTTATAAAATCTAGAAAATTTCCATCTTACAGTGCATTGCAAATACTTGCATGGTTCTTTTTTCTTTTCCGTTTATTTTATTTTTGGTTTTTAAAACTTCTGACAGCAAAAAACACCAAAAATCATATAATATAAAATTAGAGTGAGACCCAAAGACCTATGAAGTTAATAGAGAAAACTCTTATACACATCAAAAACAATAATTCTATAATTGACATGTTGTTCAAACAATTTCCCTTCTCCAATAAAACAGGCATAGTTCTAACATATATAATATATTTGCTAAGCATTCCTAAAACATTCACATGAAATACAATTCAGCTGAACGCAAGTAATTTCCCTTCATTTCCACAAAACACACTCTAACATATATATACACCAATGGCCTATTTGAAATCTTACAAAACCGCATATCATTATAACAACCAAACACAATTAAAGTTATCGATCTAACAGAGAGAAAATAGAGATCGATTGAGCAGACCTTGAGGAGCGATCGGTGGCGAAACTTGGCGTTGTCGTAGTGAACATCTTTCATTGAGTAAGGTAAAGATTTCGACATACTCGGATCGAGTTATGAGCAAGTATGGGCTTTTGATCCGCGATCCTCAAAATTTATATATATATATATATATATATATATCTATAGAGAGAGAGTGTTGTTAGATAGATAGAGCTACGAGGAGAGCGAGAGAATTTGAATCAGACATGAAAGGAATCTAGAGAGGGAAATTTGGGAGAGAAGAGACAGAGAATTGTGCGGGGGGGTTTGATTCGCGGGAATGCGGAGGCGCGCAAAGATGTTTAGAGAGTGAAAGTGGGGCAGAGACTCCGAATAATATAGGCGCCGGTTAATTGAAACAAGGGGTTGTTCTTCCTGCTAGTCTGTGGGTGGGTGGGTGGGTGGGTGTGTGGATCTGGACGTTTAGATTAGTTGACTTGTACACGAAATCTAGTTTACTGAGACCAACTCTCGGGTGACATTGAGGTTCATAAATTCGCTAACTCTAAACAGTCAGACAATACCTAGGGTACACAAACTTTGGTTTGATTCGATTTTGAGGTGTATCAGAACTTAACCGATTGCACTATTATTAAAAGATTCAAAATTTGAAATCGAATCAAACAATTAAAATCAGTGGTGCACATTGATTGATCGGATTAAACATAAAATAAAATCCAATCCGATCCAATAAATTCATAAAATTTTAAGTTAATCCCATCTTATGGTAGTCTTAATTGTGAAATATTAAATTTCAATCTAATATTAAGTTTTTATAAAAAGTGTTAGAAATTTTTTATTTTTGTTTTACCCAAAGTGAAATTGTGATAAAACATTTAAAGTCCTGTTTAGCAACCACTTTTGCTAATTATTATTATTTTTTTTTATTCTTGTAGCGCAACAAAGTACCAAAGTGTGTTTGATAATATTTGTTAGGATTTAAATAACCAAAACTTTTAGGAATAATTTCATAAAAATGAAGTTTTGGGGGGTTAAAAGAATAAAAGAATTGAGTCAAAATCAAAATTTTCAAATTAATGGAATTTTCTCTAAACCTGACATGGACATGGAAATTTACTGTACATCATATTTTTATTTCCAAAATACTCTTCTATTGTTGTTATGAAATTATGTTCTACCCCTCGTATATAGAGACAGAAACCCATCTATGACAACCTTTCTTACCAAACGAACAATCAATAAACTTGAGAAATTCATCCAAAATTTCTAGTCATTTGTACTTTTCTAATGATAAAATGGATTTGCTTTTTTTTTTTTTTTTTTAATGGGTTTGCTGGTTTGGTAGGTGAAATAGAGAGATGGCCAATCAAAATGAAAGAATTATTCTTGCCATTGCATGTGAACACATTCAAAAGGCCCTGGTTTAGGGGTGTGAGAGAGATTGATGATGAAATAGGTTTTTTTTTTTTTTTTTTTTAAATAAAAATAAAAAATGGGTTTGTTTGGGAATAAAAAGATGATGTAAAATAAATTTTCATGTTTACCTCAGACTTTGAGAAAATTTTATTAATTTTAATTTTGACTCCATTCTTTTATCCTACAAAATTTCACAGCCACAAAACTCCATTTTATGGAATCATTCCAAACTTTTAAATGACCTTTTGAGCTAGCAATTTTATTTTTCAAACTCCAAACAATTTTTTTATTTAACATATTAACATTTTTTTTTTTTTTCTTAATTGGTACTCACACACTCCCTCAAAGAATTATTTGCACCTAACAGAAATTGGCATGATATAATGTTTTTGCTTTAAAAAAATCACATTTTAATTACTATTGAATACACTCCAAAATAAAAATGGATGGACTAAAAATAATCCAAAATGTGCCGATTGAATTTACAAATAAAATGAGCACCCCTAATTATTATTAGTGAAATGGAATTATTAAAATAATTCTTCTTATTGTTCCAAAGTCCAAAGTAAGAGTTGAGGATTCAAGGTGGGCTTTTTTTATTTTTTATTTTTATTTATGGAAAAACAAATCGAAAGGAAAAAAATGTTGGTGTTTACAAAATATCAGATTTGTTTATAGTATCTTTTTCGTCTATCTCCACTTTTTAAATAAAATAATATAACTATAGTTGGAGTCAAATCACACAGTACTCCTTCGTGACAGAACACTGGAATTGAAATAGTTTAAACCTCAAAAGAGACATTACAAACTTTCACATTCTCTTAGTTATCACTAAACAAAGACTTCTGAAAAATGATAAAATTAAGTCTCTACCGGTTTTTATTGAACTAAACACTTAAGAGAGCCAGAGACACTATCTTATTGATTAAATTTTTTACTTCTCATCATCAACCTCAAAGGCCGAGACTGGGAACGTTCGCGAAAACCCGGTTGGGGTGGCGAAGGTGATCTTCCCGGAGGAGGGGTCGTCGATGAAAATGTCGGAGACGGTGAGCCAGATGAGGAGCTCCTTGCTCTTGACACCCGTCACTCTCTTCATCCGACGGTCCTCCATGAACGCCGTCACCTCCGTATCGTACGTCACGCTGCGGTCGATGCTCCGGAACTTGTGCTGCTTCTTGTTCTTCTGCTTCAGCCACACGAAGCCAGTGGACTCGTTGTACCCCACCTCAACGACGTCGTTTAAGGGCAGGAGCCCATTCGGCAGCGAGCACCTCTCCAGCAGCTCGCGAGATTTCTCCTTGAAGAGGTCGTCGCCGTGGTATATCTCCGCGTTTTCTCTTTGGCTGGCGATGATCTCTTGGGACGACATTTTCAGGGCCTTTTTTTTTTTTTTTTTTTTTTTTTGTTGTTGTTGGATTACTATGTAGTAACATGTTGGGATTTAAATATATATAGGCTTGATTTGTCTGTCGTGGTTGTGGACTTGGGGAATGTAATAACTTTGAAATTATGGCCTTTACTGTTCATTTTGGGCCTTTAATGTTGTCATTGACTAGTCGATGAGATTCCCCACGTTAGAAATTAAGGAATCCAACTGTTTTTCTCTCTTTGGATTTTTATTAAAAATACATCGCACCATTAAAGGCCCAAAATGAACAGTAAAAGGCCATTATTATTATTATTATTATTATTTTTTCTTTTATTATTACTATTTGATGGAGTTAAAGAAGTCATCGGGAAAAGATTTTTTTTTTTTTTTTTTTTTTACCAAAATACTGATTTAGAAATGAAAAATCATTTTCGTTGTCAAAACTATCCTTACTATTTCCATGTACCATTTGTGTGCATATAACTTATATAAGTACCCTTCTTGTGCCATTTTATGTGCATGTCATGTATAAGTGCACAAAAAGTAATACCTACATGCAGGGTGGAGCTAGGATTTTATTTCGGGGGGTACAATGCACTTATTGGGAAAAAAATAATAATAAATCAACAAGTGTGACAAATATATATTTTTTAAAATCAAAAGGTAACCAAGAGAAAAAAAAAATAGCTGTAAAATAATATGCTAAATAAGTTCTGAAAAAATATATATATATATATATAGTTAGACAAATAAATATAAGAATCAAAATCTTGATTAATAATATTTTTATTAAATACAATCACAAATGTTATTGATAAAAAGAAAAAAGAAGAAAAAAAAGGAACAATACATAATTATAGATAAGTGAAAATTGCAAATTTTTGAAAAAGGAAACAAAAAGTAGAAAAGGAAAAATATAAGATGTACTTGAAAAAGGGGGATATATGTATTTTTTTTCTTTTCAAAAGGATATTAGAATGATTTGAAAATTTTAGGGGAGCACTATTTAAAAATTATCATATAAAGTATGTATATATATATATAGCAAAAATATGTACCTATGTATAATAAGTTGGAGCAAGGGCACGGGACACGTGCCCCCTCTGGGCCTTAATTGGTTCACATAAATATTTTGGTCCACTTCATTTTTTTGAAACATCATGACGACTTTGACTGTATCAAATAGTAAATATAGGTCCATAACACAATATATTTGTATTAATCTCTTCTTTCTTTTTAAGGAATATGTAATTAATAGAGAAGTAATGATACGAAAGCCTAATTCGATTTGTTTGGCTTAAATAGTTTTTATCTATTGAATGTAATAGATACACTCAAACATGGTCTCACCCACTAACATCAGAGGATAAAAAAGCCATAGACTAGACAAATCGGCTAAGAAATAGGTCTATGAATCATCTTCCTCATTAGACAACTCTCCCTTTAAAAATTGAGTACTACTACAATCTTTTCTTCTTTTTTTTCTTTCGTTTTTTTTTTTTTAATTTTAATTTTAATTTTTATTATTATTATTTTTTTCTATTCCAATCACCTCCTACAAAAACTCTTAATTAATAATAGATATATATATATATAAAGTGTTTAAATCAACAATGGACACATTAGTCAGTAATACCCGGAGCTTTTATGATTTTACTTAAGAAATTTCAAATTACTCTTTAAAAAATAGAAGACGTGTTTTGTTAAGTTGGAGAAAATTTCAAAATTCAAGGCAAATATGGAAAACTTTCTATTTCTTGCATTTGACTTGAATGTGATTACTTGTATTGGAGTAGGACTTATCCTATTTAACATCAACCAAACAATATAATTGCCAAATCAAAGGGTAGATTTGATTCGGCCATTTGATGGATGTGTGTGGATCCAATTTTTGTGTAGGGGACCACTCGAGTCCCAAAGTTTCACACACATACATCAAAAGGGCAAAATATACTCCATTTTGTGTTTTGGTCTCTCTAGTTTTTCACTGGGATTAGACTGCTATTTTAGATCAACTAAGTCATTAAAGGTCTGTTTGGTATGTATACGTTTTGTTTTTTTTTTGAGTAATGTAATAATAAATAGTGAAAAAAAAAATGTTTGATAAAAAATATTTTATTTTATCACTATTTAAAACACTATACAATAAAATACTTATTTTATTTTCTCATAAAATAAAACGTCAAAAATAAAAGACGAATCAAATTGGACCCAAATAACCAAATCTAAGTGTGTTTTGGTCATTTGATACATGTGTAGGGGTCCCAAATACATGCCTCAAATGGTGTGGTGTTTTGGTCTGTCTGAGTGACTTTAAAAATCATTGGAGGGACCAAACAAATAAATGTCATGTTGTCTTTGAAACATGGCATCAATATGTAAGACCAAACAAATAATGACCAAATCTAAGTGTAATTTTGGTCATTTGATGAATGTGTGTGGAATCTCAGTTTATTAGGTTTTGACCTCTCAAGTGATTTTAAAAATTATTTTTCATGAATAAAGGAATAATTAATTATTTTTCATGAACAAGTGAATAATTAATTAGATGATATTAGGAAATCTTTTTTTAAAAGTTCAATACCGTTACACTCTTTCATGAATTGACGGTTCTACCAGTTTACACCAATGACCATGATACCGTTACACACTTCCATGAATTGGCCGGTTCTACCAGTTTATACCGATGACCATTATACATCGACTACGAACTATGGCGACCACATTAATTTTTTTAATTATAATTTTTTTTTTGGTAAAATGCAAAAAAAAAAAAAAAAAAAAAAAAAAAAAAAAAAAAAAAAACTTGAACTATGTTTTGTGCATAATACCCCCTAAACTATCACATTCTGTTGTAAAATACCTCAATGACTATACTATATTTCATTAAATGACCATAATGCCCTTTTGTATTGAATTACCTTAATTTACTTTACTTATTGAAATAAATTATATAAAAAAAAATTCATACTAAATATAATGACATATTCTCCATTAAATTTGCATAAATTTAGCTTTAATTTTTTAATTTTTTTTTTTAAAATAAAAATCTCTAGCAGATTTTTTATTTTTTTTATTTTTTAAATTAATTAATTTTTAAAATTTTTCATGAATATATTACATAAAAAGGAAGGTATTTTTTATTTAAGTAATTTATTAATTTTTCATCAATATATTATTACTTTGTTAAACTGGTTATAATAAGTTTTATTATAAATAATAAAATTTTAATAATAAGTTAATTATTTTAAAATATGGTAGTTATATATATATATATATATATATATATATATATATTCCATTTTTATGATAAATTGATACATATAATAAAATTAAGGTAAATAGTATAATTAATATTTAGATAAGAGAAAAGATAATAAAAATAATTTAATACGAAATTAAAATTTTAATGAGAAAGAATAAAATAGTATTATGTGATTGGTTTGTCATTTAATTGTAAAAAATTAATATTTCGAAGGATATTTTTAGTTCAGATAGATTTTTTTTTTTGAAAGGGACAATAGTTCATGGGGGCGAGACTGATGTACAGAGCTAAAATTATCCCTATGAGTCTAGTAAGTGGGAGGTTGAAAGGTTGAAGAGTTTAGCATCCTATGACTAAGGATATTTTACCATGAGCTCACATATTTATGTATTTGATCGAGTGTATGACATCATGAAGCATTGGATCAAACAAATAGGAAGGTAAGAGCACTCTCATTTTCTCAAATTAAATGTCTCTCTTTAAATAAAAATAAATAAAAAATAAAAATAAAAATAAAAATAATAATAATAATCTTTACAACGGTACATACTATTAATTTAATTTATCTTCGAAATTCTATAACTAAAATTGTCGAGGATATATATTGTTGATTTAAGAAAGTTTTCTAAGTCAGTTAAGGAAATTTATAGTTTTTGTATATGTATATTTATAAAAAATATTTTTGAACATTTTAAAAAATATTCTTGAAACTTTTACTTCTTTTACAAATTAACCCTTTATACTATACATGTCAGTAGTTCAAATGTTGATTCAAATCATGTTCACATAAACAAAATATTTAAGGTTTGTTTGAGAACTGCTTTTGTTTCATGTGTTTTGTTGTCAAGGAGGAACCAGTACATGCCCAATGCCCACTGGCCCGCCCATTATAATATATATAGTTTTTTTTTTTTTTTTTTTCCTTTGCATACTTATAAAAATTTGCCATATAATAAAAATTACAAAGCATATAGAACTCCATTCCAAAAAATCATGCCATCACTTTGATCATCAACATGCCATCATAAGTAAAAGTAAATCTATAATCCTTTAAGTAAACAAACTAATATGGAGTATGATCAATTTGATCCGATGATAATCCGGTATAACATAGTATAAAATCTACATAATGTCATAATATTTTTAGCATTATTTTATTCTTTTCTCACTATATTTTATTCATGAGTCATTTAACAATGAATCACACACTTAATTTTCTTAACTTTTTGGTTGATTTTTTATGGAAAAATTATAATTTGGTGATCAAAATCAAAGATAATAGCTGTAAAGTGATCATAAAGTTACAAAAATATAAATATTTATCAATCCTCAAATTATATTGCTCTTTAGGGACCATTTAAGAGTAATTTTGTCAAACATTTTAAACGCTAAAAATAATTATATAATTATTTCGGTTCTTTTAAGTTGAGATTGGCAAAAAAGAAAAGGAAAGAAGGATTGAAATAGGAAATACAAACAGTGCCATTGAATATAGAAGAAAATAGGAAACCTATCTTCCAAAAATAAAAACAAAAAAACGAATATAAGAAAAGTACCTTGAAAAAAAGAAAAAAGAAAAAAAAAAAAGGAAACTTGGAGCTTGTCAATGGCTATTAACGTGGGAGGAGAGAGAAGAAAATGAAGAGAGAAAGAGAAAAATAACATGGAATTAAAGGAGAAGAATAGTATACCCATTGTTAATATTAGTTGTGCTGGGTACAATTATTAACACAGT